ACCCATGTCACTCTTATCCATGTCCTAACCCCATTCTGTCACTCCTGCCTGCATGCTGGTAAAATATGTGTTTGGCTGGGGAAAGAGATTTCGCAAGCCGCCAACTCAAAGATGATCCTGACTTTGGAATGGTGCACTTGACCAGATTACGGAAGGAGAAATTATCTTCTGTTGAGGGTTATCTTCTAGTAGTCTCTGTGTTGAGAAAGACCACTGCAATTCTTCTGCCAGTTTCCCTAATATTTTTTTCATAATGGGTTCTATATGAATATATAGTATTTAAACATATGCATGCAAGAATTGTAGTGTAATAAACATACAGGAACCATACTATAGTAGGGATACATTATGGCTCATGAATATAATCTTACTATTTTATAAATAGGCAAACTGAGGCCTCATAAGTTGGTAGAAACTTGCTCAGAATCATCACACACGTGATGAGGCAAAGCTGGTGCAGAACTCAGGAAAACCATACCTGACTCTACTTAGAAAATACATAGCTGTCATTTTTTTGTTTTTTTTTTCTTAATTTTTTTGAATTAGCACGTACTAATTGCACATATTTATAGGGTGCACTGTGGTAATTTAATTTATGAATTGACCAAATGTGTAATGACCTAATCAAGGTAACTAACATTTTGTCTCCTACCATTTCTTTCTGTTAGAGGCCTTTGAACTCTTCTCTTCTGGTCCTTCATAAAATATTCAATAACTTGTAAGCTATAGTCACCCTACTGAGCTGTAGGACACTAGAGTGTGTTCTGCCAATCTAACTGTACTTTCCACCAAAAATTTCCATAGCAACAACTTCTATGTCTTGTCCATAGGACTAATAAAAATTAAAACTACATAAATTCTTATTTATCTTTTGCTTATTGTCTTTCTCCCCTACTAGAGTGAGAGCTCCCTGTAGAGGAGGAAGCGGATTTGTCTTGTTCCCTATAACATCCTTAAGTGTTTAGCAATGATGCCTAGCACAGAGAGTTCTCAATAAATATTTGTTGGCTGAATGAACCAATAAATGAGCACATTAATGTAAATTAATAAGCAAACCAGAAATAGAACCTAAACTTTTAGGATTCCAGAGTAATATTCCTCCCTTGGAACAAAGTTTCCTTCCATGTTTTATATTTTGTAACACATTCTATATTTAATGATGGCATAGATGCATTTTTCATTCATTCTGTGTGCAGAGGCAAAAATCCTTGCTTTTAGGATGACAAATAGAAAGTGATTTAAAATTATATAGTGTAGTCACAGCTGGAACAAGACCAAGGATTGGCCCAAAGCTTGTTAGTGCCATTGACAGGACAGTGGCCTACCTCAGGGAGATTGGTTTTCCCAGGGCTGAATTTTTCCTATACTCCCTTTCCTGCTTCATTCTACCATCTACTTTCCAACCCCTTATTACCCTGTTCATCCCACTTCTCCACTTAATTAGACAGAGGGTTGATCTTTTCCATGATAGGACTGATAGGCAGAGATCGGTTATACTCTTGGTCCCTTCTGGTTGTCTGGATGCGAGAGCTGATGTCTCTAGCTGATCTGATCAGCAGAGTCTTGTTCAGGACCTAGAGTCAAGTCTCCCCCATCCTTTGGCCCTCATCCTCAGATAGTTCTGATCCCAGGCAGCCCTGTAGCCTTGGGATGCTGGTTTTCTGTGTTGGCCACTCCTAGTCACCAAGATGGGAACGAGAGGATCTTCCTGCTGCAGTACTTAGCCTAAGGGAGCTGCCTGGAGCAGAAGGCCTTCCAGACGTTACTCAGCTTTGTGAGGGACTGAGTCACCATCAGCCAAATTTTCATCTTCTTCCTTGGATCGGGGGTCACCATATTCCCCTCTGGTTGATTCTTGTTTCCAAATTATTTGGGAGCATCCTTCCTCCCCCAGAGGGTATTGTCTTAATTTGTTTTGAGATTTAAAAATTGGTCAGTATTAGTCTGGCATGATGCTCCATTTAATGACCTAAATTTGATTCCAGTTAGAGAAGTAACAGACCCAGAGGAAATTTTAGGCAAGGGTGAACCTCCTTGCTGTGCTAAGGAGAGTCCTGAGATTCTGGGGGGTGGGGGTGAGGGTGGGGGATGGGAATAACTTTTCCAAATTCCCACTGCACGTTCTTTTCTTCTCTCAGTCTAGTTATTTGATTTTTGAAACCAACTGTGAAAGTTAAAAAAAATTGTTAGTAACACAAAGGCATTGGGGAAGGTGAATAAGAATTCCCCAGGAAGCTTGTTAATAAAAATCCCTTTCTTTTGGTCTGCGGAAGGGCCTATGACGCTACACTTTTAACTTCTCTCTCCCTAATGATTCCATGTAGATTTGCTGAGGGCCCTGCTTGTGCTGATATGGGCTATGAGAGAACCTTGATTGGTAAAGTAAGTATGGCCGGGCAGAAGAAAATGGAAAATGACCACTGAGATTGCTCCGGATGCTTCTAGAAGATGTAGACAAAGGAGGTGCAGAAGATGATGGACATGGTGGTGGAGGTAGAGGTTGTTAGTAGTACATCTTAATCAGGGCTCCTGTTGCCAGCAAGAGAAACTGGCTCAGGCTTCTTGTATTAGTTTTCTGGAGCTGACAAAACAAAATACCACAGATTGGGTGTTTTACGGAGCATACATTTATTTTTTTATACTTCTGAAGGCTGGAAGTCCAAGGTCAAGGTGTCAACAGAGTTGATTTCATTCAAACCTTTCTCTTTGCTTGGCTTGCTGGTGGCGGCTGTCTTTTGGCTGTGTCCTTGGTTGGTCTCTCCTCTGGGAGTGTGCATTCCTGGTGTCTGTGTGTTCAAATTTCCTCTACTCACAAGCACAAAAATCAGATTGCATTAGGGCCCTAATTTTTTAAAGACCTCTTATTGCCCAATATGGTAACATTCTCAGGTCCTTGGGGGTTAGAATTTCAACATATGTCTGTGGGGTGGACAAAATTCAGCTCCTAACATTACCTAGGCTCACATAGTTGATAGGGGGCTTATGGACCAGGCCTTATTAGTGGGAAAAATTCAGTAGTGACCCTTAAGAAGGCGACCTTAGGGATGAGAGAGCAATCTAGCCTGGTGACTATTTAAGGTTTTTATACTCTTCAGTTCTCCTTCTTGGAGTGATAGGCATACTTTGAGTCCTGCTGTGTTTCCATGAAATTAAATAGATTTAGATGTAAGCCTTTCATCCAAGTTCAAAAAAAAATCAACTTTACAAATACAGTTTGAAGACATGAAGACACATAGAGAATGAAATATTGAAATATGGATTTAAGTTCCTTATTCTGCTTTGAGAAAGAGATGCCGATAACTAGGATACTGACAGAAGAAAGCTACTGAGCATTTTTTAAATGATCATATAATATGAGGCACTTAAACGTATCAACTGTGTGTCAGGAATTGTTTTAACAGTTAGGTGTATATTCACTTATTTAATCTGTACAGTAGCCCTATGAAGTAGTGCTATTGCTATGTTCAATATTCAAATGAGAACACTGGGATGAAGAGGTTAAGGAAACTTTCCCAAGGTCACCTGGCCAGTAAGTAGCAGAGCAGTGCTGAACACAGATGGCTGATTCTGGAGCCTTGCACTTTGTTAAACAGTTGAGAATACTGGGGACTTTCAAAGAATGGTAGTTTTCAGGTATATTTTAAATAACTTAAAAATATATAGTAACTCGGTATGTTTATTCTGTATGAGGCATCAGAGTAGATCTAAAACTAATGACTAGGAAGGCATATAATTTTAAGAAGCAGTGTCCAATTCATTATTATAAAGAATTTTGAATTATTCCAGTAAGAGACTGGGCTACTGTGGCCGACATGGCTTATTGCCCATGCCTAATAGCCATGTTCCTTTTTTCTTTGCTTTTGTAACTCCAAAGCATGATTCGTAAGTGGTCAAGACCAACTTTGGCCATCCAATACCCCTCTGTGAACAATGATGAGGGAGGTGCGTACAATCCTATTCTGACCAGTCATACACAAGGGAGAGTTTTCTGGGGAAGGTTTTCTACCTTGATGACATGGGAGAGACATAGGAGAAGAAATGCCTCTTCTTCACATTACTTTTCGTCTTGCTTTTAATGGTATCATATGAGAAAAGGATACTTGAGCCAATGGGAAATGGTGAAATTCACCCAAATTCAGCCAAAACCTGTCTAGAGCCATTGGTTAGAATACAAAGAAGCTGGAGATTCTGCTGGTAACAATTTTACATAACACTGATCATCAGAGCAGCAGATAATATTTGCTGGGACTTTAGTGCATTAGTAGGTAGTGCCTACATTTTTCTTTAAGCCTAACACCAGTGATTTCCAGCAAGATGGAAAAAATCTTTGTTGTTGGTGATGCTCTCAAATCACTAACCAATTCCCTGCCACCTCCCTCCAGACTTCTTATTAAAAGGAATGTTGAAAATTTGTTTGCCTAAATATCCTATTACTGTGGTACGAATCATCCTATTACAGCTGCCTTGGGAGGTAATGAGTTTGATGTCCTTGGAGATGAACAAGCAGAGCCTGGAGGCCCACTTACAGGAATATCATAGCAAAAGATGGTGCTTTTACCAGAGGATAAACTGAGGTCACTTCTGGTCCCGATATTTTATTATTGCCTTCCTGCCCCTATCCAACCCCGGCACAAGTCACTTTGTGTGCCTCCCCAAGTCTGTGTATATTAAGACAAGCTGGCAGCCACAACTGGAACTTTGTCTGAGTCACCTGTAGTGCCAGCCTTCGGAAAAAGGCAGAGGCTGTGATGATGTCACAGCTCCTCCAATGACACAGCATCAGGGGACAGCCAGAAATAGACACGTGGAAGCCCTTGCCGCTGGCGCTCTCTCGTACTCTGAAGTAGCCCCATTTCTCTCAGCTCAGATACCGGGCTGCTGGAGATTTGGAGACCCAAAATAGACTGGATGTCTAGTCACCCTTCTAGAATTCCCTATCTGCTCTCACAAAGTTCTGGGAACACCCAAGGTGAAATTCACCCAGCAGAACACTAAGAAAGCAACAGAACTTTAGCAGGGCTTTGGTTCCTAACCATTATGGGCCAATCACAAAAGAAGGTCCTGAGAAAATTCCAGAGATCTGAGGTTGGGAAGAGTTGGAGACCATGGTTTGTTTCATCTCTGACTTTTGGTGTTGATTGCTGCTGAATGTAAACAGCCAAAACCTGTCTAGAGCCATTGGTTAGAATACAAAGAAGCTGGAGATTCTGCTGGTAACAATTTTTACATAACACTGATCATCAGAGCAGCAGATAATATTTGCTGGGACTTTAGTGCATTAGTAGGTAGTGCCTACATTTTTCTTTAAGCCTAACACCAATGAAGAGAATGGATATAAGAATCAGAAAAAATGGGTACCAAAATGTCAGACCCATCATGGATGACCGTGAGGTTGGGAGCGTTGACTTAAGAAAGAAGCAGTAACGGACATTTTAATTCTGTACCCCAGAGAAGAACTTTTGCAGACCTCCTAATGTGTGGCTGAGAGGAGATCTCATTGTAGCCAGTAAGAGACTGGCACTCTGATAAATCTCTCTTCCCCTCCACGGTGAGTGGGAAGAGAGTCCAGGAATGTCAGTTCAGTTTAAGTCTTAACCCCAAAATGAGATGAGGGTAGTGTGTCTTCCCCATGGCTCTGAGTGAGTTCTTACTATTTACCAGGTACTGTGTCAAGCATCTGCATAAACTGTTCAATTTAATTCTCTTTTCAACCTTCTGAGGAAAGTACCAGTATCATCATCATCATCATCTTATTGATGAGAAAACTGAGGCTTAGAAAGACTCAGAACTTTGTTAAGCTGACGTGACAGTTTGTGGTGAGATGAAATCTAGGTGGAATTCTGTATGAGCTAGAACCTACCTTGCAAGCCCAGAATCTCCCCCGCACAACTGCACACGAATGCCCGGGTGCTTGGAGGACATGAGAGAATGTGGGGTTTTGGATGAGAAGACTTGGGTGCTAGCTTAGGCTCTGTCCTTCTTATACAGCTGTGGTGTCTTTGCCTGGAAAATGGGAACTATGAGGTCTTTTTTGAGAAGCTCATGATGTTCCTGTAAGGATCCAGTGAGATCAAGGCATTTAACGTGTCTTATAGCTCTCTGGACTGTGGCAGTGATGGGCATCCAGCTGTAGAAGAGGTCTGAGTTCCAATCCTGCCTTCCTCGACAACTTTCTCAGTGATTGTGTCTAAATACTTGACTTCCAATGCCTCGGTTCTATACCTGTAGATTGCAAGCAATAGTCCTTGACTTAAGAATCTCTCAGATGTATTGTGATACTTAAAGGGAATAAGGTACAGAAAACACTGTGTGTGATGTGGAATTGCAAGAAAGTGATGGGGGCTGTCTTCACCTATTGGGTACCATGTGGTGTTTGAGGCAGTGATCACTTTTGTGATAAAATTATTATAAGCTCTTATAGAGTCACTTATCGAAAGAATTTTAATGGTGAGAAAACTAACCACGTCTCTGCAATACTATTCGAAATAACATACTAAAATAAAGCTCTGCAGCTAGTGCAAAGGAAAGGATTCAAACCCAAGCACTAACAAGTACAGGTTTTGTACTCATCCTTAAGTTCTATGAGGAATAAAAGAAAAAATATCACATGCATATAATTTACTCTGTGCCTGCTACTTTTCTAAAGGCCATCACCATATTAATTTATGTAATTTTTATAAGAAACCTACGAGTGGGCATGTTATTATCTCCATTTTTTTTTAGGTAGAGAGTGGGGAGAACCAAGGCTCAGAGGTTAAGTGACATGTCCAGGATCTCACATCTCACAATCAACAGAAGCAGGATTGGAACCTAAGAATCTATTGTCATAGACCAGAACAGGGCTTTATAAAGCACAGTTTTTGTACCTTGCAGAACAGGGTACAGACTAGGTGAAAAAAGCCATGCACAGATGACAGATAAACCAGAAAATGATACAGGACATTGCTGTGTCGAGTTGTGTGTCAAGTGTTGCTGTCAGACTACAAGAAAGAATTCTAAAGAAAGATAACAGAAGTAACGTAGGAGATGTGGCTTCTGACCTGGGCCTTTGATAGCTGTCGTGTTTGAGTAGGTAGGAAAAGTGATAGGACCATTCATGCGCCCCTTGGTCTACCGAATGGAACTCATTACTTGAGGAAATAGCTAAAAATATCTCTAGATGAAGAAAAATACACACCCTACAGAGGAGACGGCTCTAGGAATAAGTGATGGTGTTCCAGAACATTCACTAATCATAGGACAATATGTGCCTCAGTGGTGTCTGGCTCTGCAAAGTGCAGATAGGAATTTCTAATTTGCCTTCCTTGCAGAGTAAAACTCATTTGGAAAATCATAAAGTAAGAGATACACTTACAATGAAGCAATATTCTTAAAAGATTGCTTTTTTTTTTTTTTTAATCTTTTGTCTTCCCAATTACAAGACTTGCCTTCTGTGGCTGGCCAAGTCTATTGCCTGGAGAGGGGAAGGGGAATCAGGAAATCAGGAGTGGAATGGGAGGGACAAATGTAGACCACAGAGAGCAGGCACACACAGCCAGACCTGTCTTGGGTGGGGGGAGGGGGTCCCTCTGTTCCTGCAGCAGCCTGTTTAACACATCAGGGCAGAGTTTATCTAAAAGAGGTCTCCCCAAAAAGGCCACATGGAAGAAGCAGCCCCTTTCTGTCTTCAAAGGGAGTGGGAATCAGTGGGGGGGGGGAGAAGAAAGCAGGCAAAGAGAACAAAGTGACTTGGTCCTGATTTTCTCATTCCCGTTTTGGCTTTTGGCACAGGAAGCAGGAGGCTCATTAGACAAATTGGAACAACAGTGGGAGGAGATGTGCTTCTTCATCAGACTAGGGCACAAGAGGGACCTGCTAGTCCTGCGTGGCATAGGCTGGGCTCAGAAGTCATCCGAGACTATGTCTGGAGATCTCGCCAGAAGGAGGGTCTGGGCAGGGTGGAGGTCACACCTGGCAGGTGGGGAGCCTTAGAGAGAGCCGGATGCTAGCAGCAGGCAAGGTGAGGGACAGGTATCCCAGGGTCACCCAGACTCTGTGCTCTGGCTAGAACAAGAGTACAAATAACAATACTTATCATGCCAGCTTTGATTTCTGTTATGATGGCTGGAAGGTTCAGGGGCATGTAGTTGGAGACGGGATGTGATCATGCACCAGAGAAGGTGTGAAGCCATCCCTGTGTCCTGTATGCCATCATGAAGGCTCAGAAATCACACCTCCCTCTCTCTCTCTGCCCCTTGCTTATGTCCACAATTCATCTGGATGGAGAAGCAGGAAGGAATTATCTGAATGATTAGAAGATTTTATTCAAGAGAGACGGACACAACCTAAAATGGTCACTTAGGAATAAGAACAGACCAAATTTAAGCTAGATTGGCTATTTAGTTCAACTTTTCTACCACCCAGATAAAGGAAAGTTCACACACAGGCAAAAGAAATTCATTTTTTTGTCCTCATCCAAGGGGTGGTATGAACACAAATATAATGCAATCCAATTACAAACAATATTGTTAAACAGTGCTTGCTGAGGATAATAGACTTAAATACTGAATTTTTAAGATATTTAAGTGACATCAACTTTTCACTGAAACATGATAATATATGTTAGGATTTCTGGCACGTATTAGGTGCTCAGTGAATATTAATTATTTTCATGTTGTTTGAGGTCAGTGTCAGGAAAGGTAACCACTATGTTCCTGGGATCCAGCTCTTTTTTTTTTTTTTAAGAGAGAGAAGAGAGGGAATTTTTTAAATATTTATTTTTCAGTTTTTGGCGAACACAACATCTTTATTTTATTTTTATGTGGTGTTGAGGATCGAATCCAGTGCCCGGCGCATGCCAGGCGAGTGCGTTACCACTTGAGCCATATCCTCAGCCTGGGATCCCGGCTCTTGGTTTTGCATTTAGAGCCTGGATATCGGTAAGATGGTCCCAGAAGAGCACATTGCCTTCTCTCTGTGTTGAACCAGGGCCTGTGGTCCAGAGCAGAGACTCTCAAACCTGGTCCTGCATCCGAATCATCTGGATGATTGTTGTTTAAAAATAAAGATAGTTTCTCCTCTGTTTCCCCTTGTGGTTATGATTCAGTATTTCTGGGGAGGTGCCAAGGCATCTTTTGAAAACCATTAAAGTCTGTTCAGATGGCATTGTAAATACCAAGGGGCACTGGGGGACATCTTGGGCTCTTCCTTTCCTTCTCTGATGCTTGTTGATTCTTGCAGACACACTTATGGGTAAGCAGGGAAAACTCAGACCTGATTGTGGTTTTTGGTTTTCATCTGAACAAAGAGTCCTGGGTCTACCTGGCTCAGCTTCAGTCCATTCCCTTAATTTCAAAACAAAACAATTGTAAGGGGTGATGAGGTTTTGGCTGGGCTAGGTCAAAGAAAAGGCATCTCCTCTTTTATTTAGCAGGGACACAGTCTCAAAAATCAAGAACAGAGATCAGGAGCGAGGGGATATCTTCACTCTGGACAGAGCCATTTTCTGTTTTTTTTCTCTCCTTCGTTTCCCTCTTTTTTGATCCCAGGGGGGACTTTGCTCTTATCAACTCTCAAGCAGAGGATTTTTACTGCAGCACAGAACATTCTGGAAAGCAGAGAAGACGACTACTAGGATTCATTAGGGAAACCTGCTTCTTCAGGCCTGACGTCTTTTATCCTATCTCTGCTACCACTTTTGGGGGGCCTTCACCTTAACGTGTCCCCACCCCTCCCTCAAGCCCTTTCTGAGTCATCATTTTCTGTTGGTCACCTGACCAAAGGAGATGCCCTGGCTAAAGTTGGCAAATGGCCTTTGTGCTGAATAGAATTGTTCCAGTAAAATATGGCTGATTAGCATAGAAATCTCCATAAGCCTTTCCATTCTAATTTTGCTGTTAGAATTCTGGCCACTTCAGAGGTCATGCTAACCTAGTTAAGGCTCACGGAGAAAAGACTGTCGTTCCAGCTCAT